ACGTCCGAAGCCACTAAGCTTCTACGCCCAGCGTACTAAGCTGTACGCCCATCGTAGTGGCTATTAAGGATGTACGCCCAAGGTACCTTGGATTTACGCCCAACATAAATCGTGATTCAACCCCTATAAATAGCGGACGATGCCTTCTGAATTTTGTTTACAACTTTCATTCTCTCTCCCCTATACTTTCTTGAATATTGCAAAAATTACCCTAACCCTATTATATCATCCTAGCATCGTTAGCAAGCCCCGGAGATCCCGAAGATCCCGAGAAAAATAATTTTCGAGCCGAAACTCTGCCCACGTGAAGCCCGATTTTTGATAAAAAATCCCGGTTTCATCGAAGAATATTGTTTTAAGGGACGAAGTGTTGTCCAACCGTCGTCTTATCAAGTGAGTGTATAGTCACTTTCATCTTACACATAGATATGAAATATTTTATATAAACTACGTGCTATGTGAATATATATTGTTTGTTTATTTGAGATGGATGTTGAATGAATGATTTATACAGGTTTTAAATGATTTAAAATGTATATGTATTTTATATCTACAAAAATGTTGGGTAAAACATGAGTAGATGAAAGAATGTTTTATACAGATTTTAAACTGTATATGTATTTTATATCTACAAATATGTTCGGTAAAACATGGGTAGATAAAGAATGAGGGATGAAAGACGGTATAGATATACGTTGGAAGCTATGGATTTAGTACCGTATAGATGTACGTTGGTAGCTATGGATTTAGTATCGTATAAGTATACGTTGGTAGCTATGGATGTAGTACCGTATAGATGAACCTTGGCAGCTATGGATTTAGTGCTTGTTGTATAAATCTCGGGCAACGATGGACTTCGTGTCTATTCCTTTGGTTACCTTGGTAGCTATGGACTTAGTGCTTGTTGTATGAATCTCGGGCAGCGATGGACTTCGTGCCTATTCCTTAGGATAATCCTTAGGAATGAATTAATGGCGGACAGATGATTCTTAAGATCTTTAAGAATAAAGAAGATAATGGGGATGAGAAATTGGTTGATTGTTTGATGTTTAAACATAATAAATAAATTTATTGCTGGTTGATGAAATTAATAAATTTATTATTTGTGGGTTGAAAACCCTATATTCTCACCAGGCTCCCAAGCCTGACCCACTCAGTTTTTTATATTATTACAGGTAGTGGAACAAGAGCATAGTTGGACGATGACGAGAGATTTTGGATTATAGGCCAGTAGATATAAATAACTGTTGTAAGGCCTAAATGATATTATTTAAGCTTTTGGTCTGTATCGGAACATGGCATCCCGAGGTTTTATAATATAACGAAAAAAATTCATTTCTTTAAGAAATGCTTTGAAATTTTTTTATCATATTTTGCTTTTGGGACAAATTCCGCAACATCTTTTACAAGATTACTCTGATTTTATTTTAAAAGCATAAACAAAATCGGTCTTTTCTGGCCGAGAAATTTGGGGATGTCACAATTGGTATTAGAGCATTAGTTTAAGCGAACTAGGAATTTGTAGGATTTTTAGACTTAAACTTAGAATGCTAAGTGATGATCGTGAGATGAGTGTCTACCATATTTTAGACACGAGCACTAGTATATTTTAGGAAAGATGTCTAAAATGCTTTTATGTGCGATGAAAACACACGAATGGGCCAAATCTCACCTGGGAAACGGAGAGTGACATGATGAGTTGCTATCCGCATTTGTTTGCTAATGTATGATTCCGGGATGAAATCAACATAAGGGGGAGAGAATTGTAACGCCCGTGTTTCTGGGTCAAAGCATTAATGATGATATAATAGTCTAGGTCAACCATTGGAACTCGTTTTGAAGTAATAAGAATGAATTATGTGCTTTAAACTTAATTATTATGATTAAGGATAAAAATAAGCGTCGAAAATAAATAGTAGATAAAGCCGATATCTATGAAGAAAGTTGTAGTGGTTGAAACAATGATTCCGAAGATATAAAGAATACCGAAATCCGAGTTACAACGAAGAAGTTATGACCTGTCGAAGTTTCGCGACAGAACCGACACAACGCTGTGTGACGTAAAAAGTGATTTTACGATAAAGTGATTTTTAGCCTTGGCGATCTAAACGAAAGTCGTAGTGTTTGTTAAACCGAAAGCGTGCATAGAAAGAACGCCCAAATCTGACTTCGTATGAGGAAGTTATGATTTTTCTAAGTTTCGGCTTAACACTATGCAGCCCGAAGTTTGAATATGAGATCGAACGATTGTTAGCTGACACAACCTAAACGAGAATTGAAGATCTTGTTGATAGTAGTTCAACGGTAAAAAGACAGACGAAAACGAACGTCGGATGAAAAAGTTATGAATTTTTAACTGACTTTTCCTGTCCTGCCCTGTTAAAAATATAACTTTAAAAATAAAGTCAAAATTATCCGATGGAGTCTAAATGAAAGTTGTAGAGAATAGTATCACTTACGCGTGGATATAAAGAATGTCAAAAACGGAGTTCATATGCGAAAGTTACGAATTTTTAAAGTTTGGAAAATCTATGTACGCCCCGCGTACAAGAGTACGCCCAGCGTACTCGTGTGTGTGATCCAGAGTTGGCCACGTTACCTACTTCCTCGCATGTGACACGTATCTTGTGCCATTGACACGTACGAAGCCACTAAGCTTCTACGCCCAACGTACTAAGCTGTACACCCATCGTAGTGGCTATTAAGGATGTACGCCCAAGGTACCTTGGATTTACGCCCAACATAAATCGTGATTCAACCCCTATAAATAGCGGACGATGCCTTCCGAATTTTGTTTACAATTTTCATTCTCTCTCCCCTATACTTTCTTGAATATTGCAAAAAATACCCTAACCCTATTATATCATCCTAGCATCGTTAGCAAGCCCCGGAGATCCCGAAGATCCTGAGAAAAATAGTTTTCGAGCCGAAACTCTGCCCACGTGAAGCACGATTTTTGAGAAAACATCCCGGTTTCATCGAAGAATATTGTTTTAAGGGACAAAGTGTTGTCCAACCGCCGTCTTATCAAGTGAGTGTATAGTCACTTTCATCTTACACATAGATATGAAATATTTTATATAAACTACGTGCTATGTGAATATATATTGTTTGTTTATTTGAGATGGATGTTGAATGAATGATTTATACAGGTTTAAATGATTTAAAATGTATATGTATTTTATATCTATAAAAATGTTGGGTAAAACATGAGTAGATGAAAGAATGTTTTATACAGATTTTAAACTGTATATGTATTTTATATCTACAAATATGTTCGGTAAAACATGGGTAGATAAAAAATGAGGGATGAAAGACGTTATAGATATACGTTGGTAGATATGGATTTAGTACCGTATAGATGTACGTTGGTAGCTATGAATTTAGTACTGTATAGGTGTACGTTGGTAGCTATGGATGTAGTACCGTATAGATGAACCTTGGCAGCTATGGATTTAGTGCTTGTTGTATAAATCTCGGGCAGCGATGAACTTCGTGTCTATTCCTTTGGTTACCTTGGCAGGTATGGACTTAGTGCCTGTTGTATGAATCTCGGGCAGCGATGAACTTCGTGCCTATTCCTTACGATAATCCTTAGGAATGAATGAACAGATGACAAATGATTCTTAAGATCTTTAAGAATAAAGAAGATAATGGGGATGAGAAATTGGGTTGATTGTTTGATGTTTAAACATAATAAATAAATTTATTGTTGGTTGATGAAATTAATAAATTTATTATTTGTGGGTTGAAAACCCTATATGCTCACCAGGCTCCCAAGTCTGACTCACTCAACTTTTTGTATTATTACAGGTAGTGGAACAAGAGCATAGTTGGACGATGACGAGAGATTTTGGATTATAGGCCAGTAGATATAAATAACTGTTGTAAGGTCTAAATGATATTATTTATGATTTTGGTCTGTATCGGAACATGACATCCCGAGGTTTTATAATATAACGAAAAAAATTCATTTCTTTAAGAAATTCTTTGATAAATTTTTATCATATTTTATTTTGAGGAAAAATTCCGCAACATCTTTTAAAAGATTATTCTGATTTTATTTTAAAAGCATAAACTAAATCGGTTTTTCTGGCCGAGAAATTTGGGGATGTCACAGACTAACACGTCATCATGTCATGTTAACCCATGTCATAAAAAACTGACACGTGACTGACAACTGGTTTGATTGTTTAAATAGTCAACATTAAAACAAATTGAAAAATATAGTGTCAAAAATTGAATTTTATGAAAGTATTTTATGAAAGTTTAATGTCTTAACCATAAGAGAAATCAAAATCGATTTTTTATATAAACTTAATGTTTTAAAGCAATTTCCCTTACTTTTCACGGTCTTTAATTTAATGTTAATGATATTTCATTAACTTTATGTGAATAAGTGTTACATCAAATAGTCAAATACTTTAAACAAGTATGCGGTCTTGGTCTTTGTATAAAATGCATCTTTTAGGACTGCTTAAACATTTTGTAATGTCGATATTTTCATAGTCCGTAATTAGGAAAATAAACCATATTAATAATATTATATAAAATTTATACATTAAAATATTCAAATGATGATCCATGAAATACATTAAAGTAGATGATTTAATATAAACTGATCATCCAAATATACGTTTAATAACATTTTCTATTATATGTAGATCGAAAATGAACTAATGAGTAAACGAGTGCTTGATAAGGTCTCCTTGGATCTAAAGAAAAGTCAAATATTTAATAAATGTAAATTACAAGTACACATCCACAATTTAAAAAAGAACATAAAAGAACAAACCCAGAGAAAAGTCAAACTTCTAGCAAGTCAAACATTACACACCAACAGCGATTTTTCAAACTGAAGAACTTATCAAAATCAGATACATAAGATGACAAGTCGACACCCCTTTTTTTTAAAGAATATTACAGAAGAATTCATCATATTTATCTCATTTCAGTAGCCAAAATCGATGGATTAATCAAGTTATGATTATACTTCATTAATGGAGGACAGAAAAGCTAATATCATCGCTGTTTCATCGATCATCTTCCTCATCGTTGTCATCATTGTCGCCCGAGTAGTTCTAGATCTACAAAGATCGTTTTTTCTAATCGTCGGCGCCGCCGTTGCTGGTATTTTAGCAGTCATTGCTTTCTACTTCATCCGGCGACATCTCCACCACAGACGAACGATGATGGAAACTAGACTCGCATCTGAAGGAAAAGAACTCCGAATCGAGTATAGCTTTCTCCGGAAAGTAGCCGGACTTCCGACGAAGTTCAGGTATAAAGAGCTTGAGGAAATCACCGACAACTGGAAATCTTTAATCGGAAGAGGAGCTTCCGCTTTTGTGTTCAAAGGAATCATGAAAGACGGCACCGCCGTCGCCGTGAAAAGGATCCAACATGAAGAGGAGAGGGGAGAGAAGGAGTTCAGGTCGGAGATCGCCGCCATTGCCAGCGTTCAACATGTAAATCTTGTTCGTCTTTTTGGGTACTGCATTCATAATAATTTACGATTTCTTGTTTATGAGTTCATCCCGAATGGGTCTTTAGCCAATTGGATCTTTTCACGACCACGTTTAACGACGAGGGGAAACGATATCGGCGGAGGTTGCTTGTCGTGGGATCTCCGATCCGCGGTTGCACTCGACGTCGCGAAAGCTCTCGCCTACCTACACCATGACTGCCGGTCAAGAGTCCTCCACCTCGACGTGAAGCCGGAGAACATCCTCCTCGACGAAAACCACCGTGCCTATGTTTCCGACTTCGGATTATCTAAGCTAATGACACGAGATCAGAGCAGAGTTTTGACGACATTACGAGGAACAAAAGGGTACTTGGCGCCGGAATGGTTGTTAGAGCTCGGAGTAACGGAGAAATCAGACGTTTTCAGCTACGGAATGGTGTTGTTAGAGCTCATCGGCGGGAGAAGAAACGTGACGGTGATAGACACCGGCGGCACCGGTGACCGTTCAAAGAGAAAGTTTCAGTATTTTCCGAAGATAGTGACGGATAAGTTGAAATCAGGGAGGTTGATGGAGGTGGTGGATCAACGGCTGATGGATCTCGGAGGGATTGATGAGAAGGAAGTGAGGAAAATGGTGCACGTGGCGCTGTGGTGCATACAAGAGAAGGTGAGGCGGCGGCCGACGATGTTGGAGGTGGTGAAGTGGCTGGAAGGGCGAGTGGCGGTGGAGGAGCCGCCGGAGACCCAGATGATAGTCGTTGACCTTTTGTCGATAGATGATGAAGATGATGAAGGTGAAGGGCAAAATGGTAATAAAAGGAAAAAGCCAAAGATAATAGCTAGAGCTGCCTCCCAATTAAATGGTTGCTTGACTACTAGTACCAATTCTTTGCAATCAAAATCCTTTTCGTATTCTATGTCCATTATTTCACCACGATAGAAAACCTATCAATTTTAGTAATGTTGTAATGATTTATTTGTACATTGAACCAAAATCATACATTAACTTGGATTTGATTTTTGGGTTTTTGATCCTTTTGAATCAAACGAATCTTTTCGTTGACTACGATGAATATTTTATCTTTTATTTTTCATGTAGCTATTTTTATTAGAGTATTTATATATAAATAAAAGCTGCAACTTTCAGTTTCTAGTTATAAGCAACAACTAACATACAACTTTTATTCTCTCCGTTATAAAATTATTGTCTACAGACAAAAAATACACAGATTAAAGAAACATTAATTACCAGTAACTTTATACAATAAAATGATTTTGTTACTTTCCATTTAATATTTCATTAAATGCTTAGTTGGTTAAATAATAATGAAGGAGTATTTTGGTAAAAATGTTATTTATTTTTATAAGTGGACTATTATTTTGGGACAAACCAAAAAAGAAAGATGAACTATAATTTTAGGACGGAAGGAGTATTTTTCAGTTACAAACTATCGACTAATAGCTTCCAACTACAAACTACATGCTGTCCAGAAGTTAGTTTTATGAAACATACATATCTAAAAACTGATACATTTATAACTTTATTTGTATATAAATATTTGATAAAAATAATTATCCTAAAACTGCTAAAATAAAATATGAACATAGTTGGTTAGAAGACATATCATTAATTAGCATGTCATGTTCTTTGGAACACGATTAGCATGCCGTTATGTCAATGGACACCCAATTGAATTTACCTTTCTAGAAGAGTCGAGAAAAAGGCGATCTCACATGTCAAATTGATTTGATTTTTCTTGGAAGTTAGCATCCAAGTGGGAGGACCGAAAATGTAATTAACGAAAAGAACGAGGTAGCCAATAGTCCAAACTTACCAAAACTTAAAACTCTACTTCTTTTGTCGATAGAACAAGAACACACAAACACGCACTGCTTCCATTGGTGACTCCGTTCGACTATCTGCAGGTACTTTCTGATCTGAAAATCCCCAATTTTTCTGTAGATCTAGTGAAAATACTTGCGACGTGCTATATAACAATCGTTGACATCCGTTACTAATTATATATCTCAGTGATGTACATACGCATTTAGATTTTAGATATGATAATTGATAAAAGTCGCATGTTTTGATAATTTTTGCGAACTATTATGTTCTTTTGCACGAGTAATTAACAAAATGAAGCTATTCGTTACTAATTCCATTCCGAGATTCGAGTTCATTTGAAGATTTCAGCGGTCAAATTGGTCCATTTTCACCTTGAAATCGACGAGGATAAAGTTTGGATATCGATAGGAAACACTTTCGCTATTAGATTATACAAAATTTAGCAGATATATCTGTCAGCTCTTAAGTAGTAAAACTAGAAGCATAAATGCCAATTTTGTATTTCAAGAATTACTAGGTTTTTCAGTATGAATGGACTCTAACAGGAAGAAGAGATATGAACTTTTCTGGTCATATACTCTCTCACCCCTTTGCAAGTATTTGGATTTTGCGATGTCCATAATATTGTAGCTTTACTTTGCTGGAAAATTTCCAAACTAGAATTACACATATGCTCGTTTTTTATTGTTACAATTGGTCCTAGTAACATGCTTATAATTAGAACATACGACACTGGTTTGAGTATTTAAGATAATCAACGTTGCCTCCATATACAATTGTTTCAAGTGTTTAAAATGTTGTAGGTGATTCTACTCTCATTTTGAATTATATCCATTTGGGATACAAGAACTCATCTGTTTGACAACTTATACATATCAAATCATGTTTCTTATTTAATGGTAGGGTTTCATTGCAGGTTTTTTTCTTGGTTGCTGTATAACTGTATTTCTGTTATCAATAATATGAGTTTCAGTGGCCCTTCTCTCGGTTCTGGTAAAAAAAAAAACTTTTTCTTTTCCTTTTCCTTTTCCTTTTCTTTTTCTTTTCAATTTATATTTATTTACAACATCAGTTGTTTTTCCATGAAAGGTGGAAGAACTGCCAGAAGGGTATTCGAATTTGGAAGAACATATGTTGTGAAACCTAAAGGCAAACACCAAGCAACCATTGTATGGTTACATGGCCTTGGTGATAATGGTTCAAGGTAACTGTAATTGACTAATTTCAATTTCAATTTCATCTTTTCATCTTCCTTCTCTAATTGGCTATATTATATATTATCATCCCCAAATTAACCCTTATAAGATTCTTCACAAATATTGTTGTTAAATGTTAAACTACATCTATATTCTTCTTGCAGCTGGTCCCAGCTCTTGGAGACTCTTCCTCTTCCAAATGTAAGGAAACAATTATTATTCAGTATTTTACATTTAAATGATAATTATAAATTCTAAACTTGATTATTTAATTATTTAATCTTTCTGTGGTTTTTAGATCAAGTGGATATGCCCTACTTCACCTTCTCAACCATTAACCTTATTTGGTGGCTTTCCCACAACTGCATGTACAATTTAACCCCTTTAAAATTTTTTATTATCATAACGTAAAATTGTATTCCTAAGGGTAAATATGTCATTATGTATGATGGATTTTAGGGTTTGATGTAAGTGACTTATCTGAAGATGCACATCAAGATGTAGAATCAATGGATGCTTCTGCAGCACATGTATTGAGTCTCTTATCTACTGAGCCTCCTAATAGTAAGTTTCAAATTTAATTTACTTTTTTTCTTGGGATAAATTCAAGAAATGTTTGACTTTTTTTTGTAGTCAAACTTGGTGTAGGAGGGTTTAGTATGGGAGCAGCAACTGCTTTATATTCTGCAACATGTTTTTCACATGGAAAATTTGGAAATGGAAACTCCTACTCTACTCATTTGGATGCAGTTGTTGGCCTTAGTGGTTGGCTTCCATGTGCAAAGTTTGACTCTGACTCTCCTCACCATTTTACCTTTTTACCCCTCAAACCACATTGCTATTTTTAATAACAATTTTTTTTAAAAAAAATTCTAGGGATCTGAGTAACAAGGTGGAAGGGGAGGAAGCTGCAAATCGTGCTTCATCCTTGCCTATTTTACTTTGTCATGGCAAAGGTAACTATTTTAAAAAGTTATTATTTTTTTTTCTCCTTTTATTTATTTATTTATTTTAATGTTTTAGTAATTTTTCTACAATTTATGGCAGCTGATGATGTGGTACGCTTTCGTTATGGAGAGAAGTCGGCACAAAAGCTAACTTCAACCGGCTTCAAAAACCTCACTTTCAAATCCTATGACTCGTATGTCACTGTCAGATACTGTTACTGTTATTGTTACTGATATTGATATTGATAATAGTGACTTATTGTAGGCTTGGACACTATACGATTCCTGAAGAGATGGATGAGGTTTGTTCATGGCTAACTTCAAAATTGGAGCTGGAAGGTAAGTAGTGGTTTTGATGATTTGAAAAAAAAAAGAAAAAAGAAAAACAATCTCTACTTATGTAAAGTATTGTTTTTTTTTTTTTGGGTGTTTTAGTTGGGAAAAATTTGTAATGTGTAGGAGTTAGTTAGATATATTGTATGATGGAATCTTATTACTTGCATTTCTTGAGGTGGATTCTTGATTTTTAAGCTTTGTTTTACATTGGATGACTTTTGCTATTTGGGTATAAAAATATGGAAATAAAAATAAAAATGGAATAAGTTGTTTGAAATAACATGAAGATTTTTTAGTTAACTTAACAATGGGAATATTTTGTTTGATTCTGTGTGCTTTGTTTTTATTTGTGTTTTTGATGAATGAAAAAGTCTTGTGATATATTCTCATAAAAAGTGAAGAATATGTTTGGATTTTGTTTGATCGAATCTTAGGGTTATATAAAGAAAATATGTTTTTATAATATTCCGTATTTAATAGAATCATGTAAGAGTTTCCATAATAGGAAAGCTTTTTCTTTATAATCTTTTTTTTGACTCCTACCAAAGCAGAAAAACAAACTATGTAAATTCATAAAATATAATTAGAATAATGAAAAAAAAACTATATGTATGGAGCTAGTAATTTTACCCAAAAACAGATTTCTGTAAATAGCTTTCGTTAAACAAATACAACCTTGAGTTGAACGGATTGCCACCAACGGGAGATAGGTTTCCTTGATGAGTTGTTTGACGATGTTCTTTGCCATTCGAGATGCTAGAACCATTTTTCGGCAACAGATCGACTCATTCAATCTACATAGCCGATGTGGCACTTCATATGTAGGATCTAAAAAGCTCTAGATAGGATCCGAACTACATTTGAAAAACATTAATTCTTTTCTATATTTTGTTTTGATAATTCAGATAAACATGTGTTGTAAGCTATTTTCTAAAGTGAAAGATGTCAAACAAGAGATAGAAATTCATTACTAGTTTGGCACACTATTAGTGAACTGTTATGTAAGAAAATGCATTATTGTATGAATGAAACTTTGTTATAAAGAAAAAAGACCATATTATATCGAAATTTATGACGTATATATTACAACTCGAAATGAATGTGTATATTTACAATGATTTTCCTAACAAATTATTCCAAAAATCTATGAATAAATAGATACTTCTTAAGCCAACTTGTGTAAAGAGTTAGTCTCCGATACATTTTCATCTGAGTTTTCATCGAACCTAAAAGCAAATACTTGGTAGTCTTGTTGTCTACCATTAAAAAAGATCAGACCATTTAGCCGGTTGTTTCTTGCCTTTATCCCTAATTCCAAGTGTTGGCCAAATTGTAGGTCAGTACCGATTTGAAATTATATGTTCTGCATAACTCTTTCATCAAGATTAAGTTTTTGCAGTTCATGATTTCCGCTAAGACTAAGCCATTTAACTTTTTTTTTCTTTTGCTGGTATGTCATCTTCCAACTGCTGGCCAAATCATAGGTAAGAACCGCATCGTTTTGCTAGACTCTTGACAACTCTATCATTAAGACCGAGTGTCAGCAATTTGTGATTCCGACATTGCAATCTGCAGACCACATGTTGCGTGAAAAGCTTGATGTCAAAACATACTCGTGAGGCAACTGTTCAAGGCCACATGTAGCGTGTCATTGTCATGTAACTATATCTAGTTCTCTGCTTTACCAGATGATTTCTCTTGTTTTGATAATCTTTCATTCAAGAATTAAAAATTGTTTATATGTATATCCAAATACATCTCAAAAAGTTTTGTAGACCACTCACTCACTCAGTCGAGAATGTGCATTGCTATCACATAAAGACACCATTAAATAGACTAAGAAGAGGGTATAACCAGAAAAACTTTTATCATCTTTGAAAATTTTGCATAGGAAAAGTGGTTTGCAATTTTTTGAAAAGGTAATTTTCGAAATACTTTATGTCATAAATTAGATTCTAGGAAATCTAAATGAGTTCGAAAATCCAGATAAGAGTTCGAAAAAAATTAGTTTTTTCGAAGGTACTTTTTGTCAAAAAATATTGAAAACCACATTTTTAAAGGTCAGAGGCTTCTTTCAAAAATCCATATTTTCGAACACTTTCGAAAGTCAAAAATTTGTTAAAAAACTTTGACTTGTGAAGCTACTTTATATCATTTTCGAACAACTTTCGAAAGTTAAAAATATGTTCAAAAACTTTGACTTGCGAAGCTACTTTATGTTAGATGGAAGCCCACTAGATGGAAGTCAAGAGCATTCTTAAATATACGAGAAGAACAAAGGATATGTTATTGATATATGGTGGTCGGGAAGAGCTCAAAGTAAATGGTTACTTTGATGCGAGTTTTCAAACTGATAGAGACGATTCTTGCTCACAGTAAGGATTTGTTCTTATTAAATGGAGGAAATGTGACTTGGAGGAGTTCGAAGTAGAGAACCTTAGATGACTTAACAATGGAATTTGAGTATATAATAGTAAATGATGTTGCTAAGGAAGCTATGTGGATGAAGAAGTTCATCAGAGATCTTGGTGTTGTACCCAACATAGAAGATCCCATAGGAATATATTGTGACTATGAGGGTGCAATAACTTTGGCTAAAGAACCAAGAGCACATAAAACTCACACGACATATACTCAGAAAATATCATTACATTTGGAATGTTGTTGAAGAGGGAGACATCATGATCAATACAATATCTTCAGATGAGAACTTGGCTGATCCATTTACCAATTCATTGGCCATCACAAAGCATGACTCTCATACTAGTGTCATAGGCATTAAACTTGTAAATATCCTAGTTTAAATTATTAGTTGATTTGATGTTTGAACTAATACAAAATGAAATTACAAATGATGTAAGGATTATTAAGCAATGATCTTAATATATGTTGGTGAGCAATTATTATTAGTGGTTCATCTCTATGTTCTAATTAGCATGTTTTATACTTCCTTGAATGAAAATTCACAACCTCCACAGTCGATCATACTTTAAGGAAGAAAGTAAAGAGTTAAGACTGATGTGGGGTGTTAGTAGATTATCCATAGTGATAGATATGACATAACGATGTGACTAACATCCACATATATTTAATAGTGATTAAGTAGTGGAGTAACCCGCACTTAGAGAATTACTTTCTAGAAATTTTGTCACGGGCGTAATACCAAGATCACAATATCTCATGTCTCTGAAACGGAGATACATGGGACTTGATTGCAACACCCGTTTCTTGTAACTAATACATTATTAGGGGTGTAATACCTTTATAAGTTGAATAAGACAAGTATTTTACTTGAATATATGAAAAGGTGAACGCAAAGTATGCGTTGATGTAACGCCTGGTTCCTGGTACATATTTATTAAATATTCAATTTATAAGAGAAACTCGATGAGTTGGAAGCCCCAAACTCGTCGAGTAGAGATCATATGGGCCGCGTGATTTAAGTAACCTACTCGATGAGTTGAGAGGCCTCAACTCGACGAGTAGGCTGGCAAAAGGGAAACCCTAATTTCCAGGGTTCTGCACCCTATTTAGAGGACTTAACCTTCCCACTAGCCCCTCATCAGCCTCCCTAAAAAACCCTAAATCGTATTGTGAGCTCCTTGTTGAGAAACTAGAGGTTTTGAGTGGATTTTTATGTTCTTGTGCTTGGTGAAGGACTTGGAAGAACTAGAAGGTCATTGAGCTTGAAGAGAAGCACTAGATTTGGGATCTCATTCGTCCTTGGCAACTTTCTGAGGTAAAAAGTCTCAAACTTGATGCTTAACAGCTTAGATCTCTCTTAGTGTTGTTTTATGGACCTTTTTGACCCCATTGTTGGAGCATGATTAACCTTCATAGTCCTGATGATAAAAACTTCCATTCTCAGTGTTATTTGGTCCTTAGATTCATAAAAAGGGTCCTAAACCCGTTCATGCTCAAGAAAAGACCATATCCATAGAAGTAGGTTGCTATATCTCGAGATTAGGTCCATTTGGGGCATGCAAAGCCACCAAGTTGTCGACTTTTCAGATGTATACCATGGAAAACAATGTAGATCTGTACTCTGATACCTTAGATCTGAGGAAAGGGCTTAATAGACTAATAACTATGAGGAACTCGGCGAGTTCATGGAGGAACTCGACGAGTTGGGGTCGAGCTGTCCCGATTCTGTTAAAGGGAAGAACTCGACGAGTTCAAGGATGGACTCGACGAGTTAAAGTGAAGTGTCCTGATTCTGTTGAAAGGAAGAACTCAGTGAGTTCAAGGATGGACTTGACGAGTTGCATCGTGATTTCGCGATTGTGTGAGTCAAGGGAAAATCGACGAGTTGAATCAACTCGGAGCGTTGACTTTGACTTTGACTTGACCTTGACTTTGACCATAGTTGACCCTCAAGGGGTTATGAGCATGAAACGGTACCTAAGGGGTTGTTTTGGTTCAGGAAGTGAGTAGAACTGATTACCGGGCAGAGACGTTTCAGCTATCATCCGACATTTGAGGTGAGTTTCCTCCTGGTTTGAACGGGTCTAAGGCACCAATGTCGGCCCGTGTATAGTATGTGTGATGATTAGTAGCTAAGTGTGGGTAGGGCCTGTATCTTAGCATTATTTGAGTATGGATATGTATTGGTAGAGTTTGATTATACTTGTTGTATGTGTGATACTTGTATGCATGTATTTGTTAGCGGAGTGTGGGCGAGGCCCCTATCTCCTAGATAGTGGAGTGTGGGTGAGGCCCGTATCTCCTAGTCAGCGGAGTGTGGGCGGGGCCCGTACCTCCTAATTAGCAGAGTGTGGGCGAGGCCCGTATCTCATAGATAGCTGAGTGTGGGTGAGGCATGTATCTCATAGTTAGCTGAGTGTGGGCGAGGCCCGTATCTCATAGTTAGCCGAGTGTGGGCGGGGCCCGTATCTCCTTGAGTGTGGGCGGGGGCCCGTATCTCCTAGCTGCATATTATGTGTATGGTATGTGGTAGTTTGAGAGAAATTCACTAGGCTTCGTGCTTACAATTTTCAGTTTTGGTTTCAGGTACTTCCGGAAGCAAAGGGAAGAGCTCGGGATGAATGCATTGCACACACCATTATGTTTAGCTTGGGATGATTACTCTGATGTTTTGATTTGGAAACTATGATAA